AATTATTTTTTTAAATTTCTGTCTTTTCCCCAATGTTTTTTTCTCTGAAGCTACTGGAAGGTAAGGATTACTTTTACCTTCGTGGCTAAGGAAACTCTACCTGGGAAACCACGGCAGTAACTTATTGCCAAGTCAGTATTCATTTCTACTGTCTTGTTTTGGTTGGTTCCATTACACAGGTCTAAAGTTTTCCCGTTAAGTGTTGGACTGTAGTTTAACTTGAGGTTTTTGAACTGTTTTACTACCAGTATGATCCTTTGGTTGCCAATATTTTTTGCTGTGGTTTGTCTTTTTTTTTTTAGCTTAACAATTTATTTTTTAGTTTTTCTTTTTCTATTTCAACTTGTCATTTCTTGGTGCTAGCAGTAGGATGATTTCTCAAATAACATGATCTTGAGGATGCGAGTCCAATGAAATCATCTAAACTTGGATCATTCCCTTCACTTTGGGGAAGAACGGTGCTGTCCCCTCCCTCCCATTCATTCATGTCTTCTGAGCTCACAGAGTATGTTACACACTGTCTGGGGACTTTTGTTTAAACCAATGCATCCTTTGACAATTATGTATATAATAATGAGCCATGCTCCCTCCGCCTCTTTCATCTGCCCCACCAAACCCCTTCCTGGGAACAGGCTTCCATGCTCCTAAATCTTTGTTTCACTTTGTCCTCATTCTGTGACTCACTGAAGTCAACCTGGGTGTCGCACAGACATGGAAGTGGAGCTATCCACTTGAACATGTGGGCACACCACTGAAGACAATGACTGCCTTTACAGCAACCATCAGCTCAAGGAGGGGGGCTAGGCTCCTTGAGTTCGGATGGATGGGGCTTTTTAGGTAATGTAAAGGTAAAGAATCTAATCTAAAGCCAGAAGAGAGACGTGCCCAAGCTCACTGAGATAGTAGGTGGTAGGGATGACCCCCCCACACACTGTCTCCTGCTCTCTCACTACTGGCCTTGCACCTGAATTTATCAGGTCAGACAGGTCTACTTTTGCCCTTCGAAGCAGGGTTGCTTTAATAGAGTGGGGTTATGGCCACAGACATGAACTGCTTAGTGAAGGGAGGCAAAAAAACAAAAATGTTTAGATAGGGCACTAAAACTTCTCCTAGGGATTATTGTGGAATTTCTTTCTGTATTTTGTTGATCATAGACACATTTACTTCGAATTCCTTATTTTTGTGCAAAGCCTTTTTAAATATATTAAATATTTTAGAGTCAGTAATTATTTCCAGTCGCATTTATCTTGACCTGTTTTTTAATGTTGCCAAAATACACGTATCTAACCTGACAAGTACGAGCCTTCCAGTCAGGAATTTTGCACCTGTAGAATTAGAAGTTTTGCCTTACAGTGGAATGAAATTACCCAGGACCTGAGAAACATGTAAGAACAGTTTCTTTAATGTCGCAACTGTTGAAAGAATGTTCTAGAGGAAAAGATAAGCTTTGTCAGATGTGCTTATATCTCCAAGTCTCGTACTGAATAATATGTTTGCAGAGAAATACAGATAGACAAAAAATTTAAAAGTCTCCTTTGAGTAAGCTACAATATAAAGTAGCATAACCTCATACTGATAATAAAACAACCCCTTTATCCAGAATTCACACAGTGGTCACGAATATTTGTGGATATTTGACTGAAAAAAAGTTATATATTTATTTCTTAATGTAGTGGACATATGTATCTGCATATATAGCCAAGGTATGTTAGGATAAATACATTATTTTTGTACTGTAGAAGCTTATATATGATAATCAAATTTTACGAAAAGCTCTTCAGAGAAAACGACAACTAGGAATAGCAATTTCACACTCTGCGGGCTAGTGTGTTCTTTTAATATTTAAAATAAACACAATAAGGAATCATAACAAATATTTTCACTTTTTAGTAAAAATTATAATTTTGTAATATATATTTCTAAAGGATCTTTATTACCTTACATGTTTAATTAACTAGTTATTGACTGTTTGCATGTATATGTGTGTGCACGTGTGTGCATGTGTGCATGCGTGTGTGTGTGTGTGTGTGTGTGTGTGTGTGTGTGTGTGTGTGTGTATGAAGCATGTGTGCCATGGTGCACATGTGAAAATTAGAACAGATCACTATAAAATAAAGTCAGCTCTCTCCTTTCACATGTATGACTCTCCCACAGATAGACTGCAGGTGGCCAGGCTTAGCAGGCAAGCAAGTTTACTGACCTTCGGGGGATTATCTCTCTCTCCATCTTGTTTTTGAGGCAGGATTTCTCTTGTTATTTCTACCCGTGTGCAGCTTTCACTGAGCATTAGGCTCGTTCTCTTGTCTCTGTGCCCACCATATCACAGCAGTGCTGGTGCTAGAATTGCAGACATAAGACGCCACATCATCGGTTCCCAGTGTTGAACTCAGGTCATCTGGTCTACACAGCATGTGTCTTTACCCACTGCATTTCACCAACCCAGAAAAGAAACTTTTTAATTCATCACTTTATTTTTTTAATAACATAATTCTTTATCAATTCTTTGGAAATTTCACATAAAGCACTCCAAACCCACTCACCTTCTAATCCTGCCATAATCACCCCCACCTCTGCAGCATTCCCCTCCCCCCAGCCAAAAAAAAAAAAAAGATTGATTCAGAGCAAAACAAACAAACACAGAGCACCTCACTTCTCCATCTTTCCAAAAGCTCTTCACTCATCCTCATGACATCAGGAACTGCAGGACATCACTCAGTACACCCTTTGCCCAATCAGCCCCACCCACAAAATTCTCATTGGTCTGGTTAAAAACCTCTGGCACACCATACACTGGACCCTCAGCGTAATCCATCACTTTAAATGAACAATTTTCAAGTACCTGCTGCAATTATTGCATCAGTATGTGGTAACTAACGATTATTCTTATCTGCAATGTGAGTAAGTAGTTATTAATGCTAGTAACAATTACTAATGCAATTCTTACTGTCCAAGCCTATATTAATATCTACATTTTTAAATAGACTCTGAAATTCAGGGAACCTCTGTAAACTAGCCCGAAGACGCAGAGTAACAGTAGAATTCAATTGCAAGTGAAAACGCCTGTAAGTTGCCCAGTCGTTATATCACTGCGTACATTCCACAGCTGTATCTGTTGAAGTCAGTCATTAAAATGATGTGAGTTTTCTGCAGTGTGTGTCAGTCTGAGCGTTTACAAGCTGACCCAGCCATCTCCTAGGAGAACAGTGAAGGTCATGGAGCCAGCATAGCTGCTTGACAAATTCCAGCAAAACTGAGTCACAGGCTATATGGTCTGTGATGACCTTTACTCTCACTTTGAATCTCTGTGTGTTACACCCTGGGAGGGCTATTAGTATAATGATTTATCCATGTCCTTTCTGAGGAAATCATTTCTGTATACCCCTGAAGAAGTCTTCAACGTACTACCCCTGCTTTCAGGGAAGTGACCTTAGTTGACCCTACTTGGGGGTCTTCTCTCTGCCTTGGAGATTGTTATCTGCCCCTACACAAACTCAAGAACAAAATCATTAAAACCCTGTGAATTCAGAAGAGGCTAACTAGGTTTAGTAGGCTAGGAGAATTAGCAGCAGATCAGAGCACAGAACTCCTTTACAGTGTACTTAGAATTTCTTAGAAATATAACCTACAAGATAGAGGACCACATATACATTAAGCCTCTCAAATGAATCTAGCAATAAGAGCTAGAATGACTAGACTTACAAAACAGTATATATAGGTGATGTATGAATGTCACAGAAGAATAAAGAAGGGCAAGGTATTAAGGTTTGTCATTTCTAAAAGGATTGATTGACATCAGGTTGCTGTGATGTTACCTCATTTAGAGACAAAAGAATTCTTTTATTTAACAAATTTTTATAGAGAGCACGAGCAAGGAACTCAGGACTGCGAGGGGTGCACCCACACACTGAGACAATGGGGATGTTCTATTGGGAACTCACCAAGGCCAGCTGGCCTGGATCTGAAAAAGCCTGGGATAAAACCTGACTCGCTGAACATAGCCGACAATGAGGACTACTGAGAACTCAAGAACAATGGCAATGGGTTTTTGATCCTACTGCACGTATTGGCTTTGTAGGAGCCTAGGCCGTTTGGATGCTCACCTTACAAGACCTGGATGGAGGTGGGGGTTCCTTGGATTTCCCACAGGGCAGGGAACCCTGATTGCTCTTTGGGTTGAAAAGGGAGGGGGACTTGATTGGGGGAAGGGGAGGGAAATGGGAGGCGGTGGCGGGGAAGAGACAGAAATCTTTAATAAATAAATAAATTTAAAAAATTATAAATATGCATAATACTAAGAATTGAACAATAGCTCCAGCAGTTCCTAAGCCTGAAAAAGATTTCAGACTCAGTCTAATTTGCAAGTAATATGACTGACCATTAAAAGTTAATAATAAAATGCTGAACACACGGTGATTTGCCTGCACTGTCTCAGGTATTATCTAAAACATCCTGAAATCACGAACTGCTGCCAGCCTGAGAACTGCTGCTATGTTATGCTTGCTTAAGCTGAAATAATCTGTAGAATATTTCTATTCTAGGAATAGGGATATGGGGTTGATAAGAAAATCTTTTTCATCTGGGCTAAACCTATAATCCCAGGTATACTAGAGAAGTGTGCTCAGGACAAAATGATGTGATCTGTATCTCTTGAAAAATCATGAATGTTTTTGAACTCTGTATAAATAAATTTTCTGACTGCTAGTCAGTCAGACTTGCAAAGTCTTCCAATCTGGGCATCTGACTCAACCTTCCCCTCATCTATTTCTTCTGTCCTCTCAGGAGCCCACTCACTGTTGGGGCTGCCCCTCCCCCACAAAAAGCAATCAATGATGTTAAGCTTTGCTGGGAAGAGCAGTTTTAGTGGGAGAGGAAGAAGGGGGGCATGGAAGAGTGTCCCTGGCAGGAATGACTAAAAGATATTATATACACATGCAAACATGAAACTATCAAAAAATTAAAAAATGAAAAAAAAATGTTATGTCTCTTTTTTGTCTTTCCAGAATTACATCATGTCAAAATACAAACTGATTTATTTTAATATAAGGGGGAGAGCAGAAATTATTCGTTATATATTTGCTTATTTGGACATAAAGTATGAAGATCACAGAATAGAACAAGTTGACTGGCCCAAAATCAAACCAAGTAAGTACCATAAATCATTCAGATTAATGTAGGGAGAATGTATTTCAGGGGTTTTCATCCTTCCTGCAGGAAATGCAAGCCCTATCCTATAGAGCTTCACACTGAGAAACATCAATTCAGGTAAACCAAGCAGATGCATACTGCTCTCTAAGCTTGCTCAGGATTTTATCATCTTCTTTCTCAATAGATGACTCAGAACTATAGAAAGAGCTGGGCAGCTGAGGTCAGCTTGAATATTGCCTCTACCGAGAGCAGACATCATTTCCTTATTGAGGAGACCACAGTTAACACCATCTCTAAGGGCTGAGGGCTTGGAGACTGATGTGCATGTGACAGTTTCGTCCTGCATTCCCTTTCAAGCTCCACATGCCACCTCTCCCCTGTGTGCTTGAGATGAAGCCCATCAGTTCACATCCATTGTATTTGGAGTTCTGTCCTGCTCACAGCCCTTCAGGGCCTTGAACAGCGCTTGCTTTACTCACTGGGCTGGTCATCAAAGTTGTGCTTTTCCCCCAAAGTGAAAGGAGTTGACTTTGTGCTCACTTGGTGTATGCATGGAGGTTTGGTCTCAGTCCTTGTGTGAGTCCTACGTGACGTAGAATCTATACTTCATTCTTTTTCTTCTTAACCAAAATAGTTACGTGCCCAAACCTAAGATACTAAGTTGTAGTCAATTCACATGCTAAAGCCCTGCATGATCATTGAGTCCGTTGATTCAGAAAGGTTTCAAAGATAGCATCAAGTGAAAAGGGGACTCTGTATAATAATATCCCATGCACTGTACTTTTTTAATATTTAGTTTTTCATGGCTGTGACAGAAATGGGGGAAGAACATAGAGAAGAAAGGATGTATTCAGAGGTTTCAGTGTAGTCTGCTCACTGCTTAGGGCCTGAGGAAAGAAACGCCATGGTGGGAAGGTCGTGATGGAACAGAGCTGCCCATTATGTGAGAGCTGGGAGCAGAGAGAAAGCAACGGGGAGGTTACTACTGAAATGGAAGGCAAGTCCCCAGCAGCCCACTTCCTCCAGTAAGGTCCTACCTCCCACAGGGCCACTCATAGCATGCATCTGAAACTAGAATTGGTCAATAGAATAAACTGTTTACTGGATCAGAGATGCATGATCTGATGTCTGTGGAACGACCTTCAGAGAAAGGTGTGAGTGCTGATGCAGGCATACCCTCAACCAGTCAAGGTGTGGGTGCTGATGCAGGCATCCCTCAACCCAATCAAGTTGACATGATTAACTAATACAAAATAGAAAGTTAATTAGAATGCTACAATCACTATAACTACCTGGTAGAAATATTTTTAAATTTTATGAATTTTCTATAATAAAGGTATATTGCTTTCTCACAAAGGTAAAAAGTTCAAGTAAGAAAAAGGTGGAAGTTACTGATTACTATGAATGTTACCTACTATGGTCTTATGCTTCTGCCTTTTACTATATACCTCACAATGCTCTTCATCAAAATAAGAGTAGGATAAAACTTCCTTAGCTCATGTGTAAGTCAAAATCTATAATTGCTGGAATGTTTTAAAGTAACTGATGTGATCTATTTTGAGACAGTAAAATTAATATAGCTTTAAAGCAGGTATTTATAAAAGTGAAATATCTGGATGAAGAGATGGCTCACTGATCAAGAGCAGTTACTTGATGTGGGAGTGATTTTTTATTAATAAAGAAACTGCCTAGACCCATTTGATAGGCCAACCCTTAGGTAGGCGGAGAAAACAGAACAGAATGCTGGGAGAAAGAAGCTGGATCAAGGAGTCGCCATGATTCACCTACCAGACACAGACGCAGGTTAAGATCTTCCCTGGTAAGACACCCCGTGGTGTTACAGGGATATTAGAAATGGGTTAGATCGATATGTAAGAGCTAGCCAATAAGAGGCTAGAACTAATGGGCCAATCAGTGTTTAAATGAATACAGTTTCCATGTGATTATTTCTGGTATAAAACTAGCCGTGCGGGCGGCCGGGTGCCAGGAACACAGCCCCGCCGCTCATACTACTACAGTTACTACTCTTGCAGAGGACTGGGGTTCAGTTTCCAGCACCCACATAGTGCCTCAGAACCATTTGTAACTTCAGTTCCAGGGGATCCAGTGCTCTCTTCTGGCCTCCAAAGGCACTCCAGACACATGGCACATTTACAAACATGCCAGCAAAGGACATACACATTGAGTAAGCCTTTTAAAGAGTACTAAGTTTATAGATAAATCTATAATGAGACAATTCAGGAGTGTAGCATGTGGTATCCCTGTAAACAATTTTGATATTGATTGTTTTTATGTTGAGACATTATCCAAACTCAGTATCTAAAATGAGCTAGAACCCACGATCTACCTACCTTCATCTCACAAGGGCTAAGGTTACAGGCATAAGCCAGCACACCCAGTTTATGCAGTGTTGGGGATCAAACCTAGAGGCTTGTGTGAGACCTTGTGCATATCAGCAGACACCCTACCAATGGAGCTACATGGACCATGCATACACGATTTTTATCACTAGTTCTTTAACTGACTTTATATCCAATTTTTAAATCTACTGAAAGGTAAAGACTGCACTAAAGAATGTGAAATTGTCTCTTTTAAGAAGAAATGTTTTGAGGGGCTTGCTTAGAGCTCAAGCAGCATAGTGCTTTTGTTTTTAACCATAAATTTTTGTTGATTCTTTGGAAATTTCATACCATGTACCCAAATGTCACTCACTGCCCAGGCCCTCCATATCTGCCCTTCATCCCTACAGCATGCCCTCCAAAAGAACTGCCTTCAAAATTATTAAAAGCAAACAAAATAAACAACAACAACAATAAAAATCTATCTTAGTCTTCTGTCTTTCCCACCTCTCTATTGCCTCTTCATGCATCCTAGTGGCATCAGGGGCATCAATGTGCCTTGCACCATGCCTTTTGTCCAGTTAGCCCCACCCAAAAAAATGTTCATTTCAGGGAGTCTTTGGTCTGGTTGTCAAGGCTTCTAGTGCACCATCATCACTGGACCATCACCAAAAGTCCCCTCAGGGATCCTGCTGTTGCCCCAGTCATGGAAATCCTACAGTTGAAATCTGAGGACTTGCTGAGCTGGCCCTGCCCTTCACTGGCCCTGGGATGTCTGACCCTGCCCCTCACAGCAGGAGGAGGGCTGATCCCCCACACTGGCCCTTGCATGGAGAGAGTTGGCGCGACCCCTCACCATCAGCTTGGAAGAGCTGGCCCAGGTGTCATGGGCCTAAGAGAGCTGACTCTGCCCCTCACTTGCGGGGTGTGGTCCCAGTAGCCTAGACTTACCTGCTCAGCTACCATCCAGACCCACATCCTGGGCCTTTCGGTTAGTCCACTGCCTTAGTTAGGGTTTCTATTGATGTGACAAAAACACCATAACCAAAAGGCAAGTTGGGAAGGAAAGGGTTTATTAGGTTTACACTTCATCATTTCTGTTCATCACTGAAGGAAGTCAGGACAGGAACTCAAACAGGGAAGGATCCCAGAGACAGGAGCTAATGCAGAGGCCATGGAGGGGAGCTGTTTACTGTCTTGCATCCCCTGGCTTGTTCAGCCTACCTTCTTATAGAATCCAGGACTAGCAGCCAGGGGATGGCACCACCCTACATGGGCTGTGCCCTCTCCCACTGACCACTAAATGAGAAAATATTTACAGCTGTATTTCAAAGGGGCATTTCCTCAGCTGAGGCTCTTTCCTCTGATGACTCTAGCTTATGTCAAGTTGACACACAGAACCACCCAATACACCCACCCTAACAACTATCCCATCTATGACCTGCTCACGTGCATGAAGAGACGATCTCCATGACACAGGGCAACAGTATAGTGCTTCTTAAAATACTTCGACGCTTGTAAATATATGTCATGTGTATATTCTATATTTAAGACTTTCATGATGTATATGATACCTTGCTTCTATTGTTTTGGCTTCTCTCAGCCCTCCCGGTTCTGCTCAGAAGATGACCCTTGGCTTGTTCTGTTTTAGCTCTTCCATTTGGCAAAATCCCTGTTTTGAAGGTGGGAGGACTGACGCTTCATCAGAGTCTTGCAATAGCAAGATACTTGATCAAAAACACAGGTAATGTACTTATTGTAGTTAAGACTTTGATTAACTGAAAAAAAAATGTGATGTTTCTTTGATATTTATTTAATAACTGTATTATTTAACTATGGTGCAATTAGGAATGGCTCTGAAGATTAGAACATTATAAATGTACCATCTACATTAGTAGAACTTTCTATGAATACTGTAGACAGCTATTTTATTTTGTTATTGCAGATTTTCATATGTAGGGTTTTACTGTGTTGTCTTAGCTTACCTGCTATTTGCTACATAACCCACAGTGGCCTTAAACCCTTGATCGTTCTGTAGCAGCCTACTACATGCTTGGAATACAGCTTGTGCTGCCACATCAGACCCTCCCCCTTTTGTATCTCTTGATATTGCCATTATGTCATTCTAAAAATCTAGCTAGAAAATTGGGTTGGTATGTCAAGCTAGTTTTGAGTGTTATGATTATGCAGAAATACATACAGCACATGAAGGATGGAACTTGTTGGACTATTGTAATCATAATTCAGTGTCTTTCATTCTGAGCATGCTCAGAAAACTAGAAAAATAGCATCCTTGCCTCTACTGGCTATCATGGATCTTCTTAGCTCACGCACCGTGAAATGAGCAGAAGTAACAGAGACGGCCCCTGCCTTTCTCTCATTATGCTCCACTTCCTACTTCCCCTCTCCTGCTCTTCCCACTTTATTTTTTTAGTAAAAAAGCAAGTACTTTGGATTTTTGTAAGCCTTTTTCTTTTTAATTAGCATGCTAGGATCACTATTTTCCACTTTCAGCCTTTCCATTTCACCGCACTGCTACCACCTTTTGATCCAAGCATGCTGGGATTAGATTCCCATCTTAGGAACAAATGTGTTTATTTTAAAGACATAAAAGGGGCTGGATCTTGGCTCAGTATTAAGAATACTTGGTATGGGATTCCCCTCTGTAAGCTGTGGATACCACTGGTTAATAAAGAACTGCTTTGAGCTTATAGCAGAGCAGAGCAGAACAGAGATGGGAGGGAAAAATTAAACTGAATGCTGGGAAAAAGAAGGCAGAGTCAGAGAGAAGCCATGTAGCCCCACTGGAGACAGACACTGGAGCATTACCAGGTAAGCCACAGCCACATGGCGATACACAGATTAACAGAAATGGGTTAAATTAAGATGTAAGAGTCAGCCAATAAGAAGCTAAAGCTAATGGGCCAAGCAGTGTTTTTAAATAATATAGTTTCTGTGTGATTATTTTGGGTCTGAGCTGCCCGGTAGCCAGGAAATGAACAAGAGGCCTCCCACAACAGATACTCGTTGCTCTTGCAGAGGACCTGGTTCAGTTCTCAGCATTCACAAGGTGGTTCACAACTATCTGTAACTCCAGTTCCAGGGGATCTGACAAATGACCTTTGACCTCTGTGGGTACCAGGCTCAACACATAATAAGCACCCTTTCATACATGAGAACAAAACACTAATGCACATAAGATAAAATAAATTTTTTAAAAAAATAAGCACACACACAAAAAAAAAAACTGTGTAGTGAAAAGTCAAAGGATATGGAATATGTCCTGGAAGTTGGGCTTAGAAGAGAAAAGGGCAATGGAGTCAAGCATCAGAGGATACCTAGGGTTCCAAGTCCTCCACTCTTGTGTGCATCAAAGTCTCCTCGGGGCTTCTGAACACATCTTCCTTGCTTCCAGATTTGATTCAGGAGGCTGGAGGAGGACCCTGAAAAGTTTGCATTATTAAGGATTTTCCAGATAGTGCTGAGAAGGCAAATGGACCTCACTCAGACTCACCGGACTACAGCATTACAAGTAGAGAGGAAAAGGCACAAGAGAAACAAACAAACAAGAACCTTCATATTTGCAGGGTAGAGAAAGAGGGTTGTTTAGCAAAATACACTGGACCCGGTTAGAAAGTCCAGGGAATGGACCTCCCTAACAGGTGTACGTTGTTACCCAGAAAGGTGGCACACTCGGAGGCACCACTACAGGACAATTATTGTGGCAATAGTTTGTTCTTGATTGTCCAGACTGTTGGTCACACACTAGAGGTTTTTGAAGTAGTCCAGATGTCATCAGAAAGAGGAGTGTGGATACTATGAGAAAGTTTACAGAACCTTTGTAGGACTGGGCCACAGGTAAGGGCACGAGGGCACAGTTGTCAGGCTTTGTTATTGCCAGAGCACTGGGGACACCCACTACCACCCCGTCTTTGCCCTCTCTGTTCTTTGTAACTACTTTCCTCAGTTGCCAATACCCCTTGCCCTATCAGGTTTGCCAACCAGAGGAGCCAGGCACGCAAGGAGTCTCTCTCGTTCAATACAGCTGGAGCTACTGTGGGACCAGCTCAAAGCAGGAGCCTTGCACTCCTGGAATGAAAAAAAGAACAGTTGGTTTGAGGTGTGGTATGTGGTAATTTGATGCCGGAAGTTCGGGAGGGAAAACAGCTCCAAATATTTGCCAAGAGGCCTGAGAGATGCCTGGATTAAGAACGAGGATTGTTTCCAGGACAGGCTCCAAAGCCACAGAGAAACCCTGTCTCGAAAAACCAAAAAAAAAAAAAAAAAAAAAAAAAAAAAAAAAAAAAAAAAAGAACGAGGATTGTCCAGAGAGGCATTAGCTCCCCGGAAGTAACAGCTAAAGCCTGCACCACAGAAGTCAAACCAGGGCTGAGAGAAAGTGAGGGACCTGTGACACACTTTTTCAGGCTGGTGAGGAAAACCAGTTCTTGGAAATCACATGTGAAGTTACAAGTATGTGAAGCAAGCATGTTCCTTCACCCTGAACAGCTCCACTCAGGCTTTCTTTATACGAGCCGTGCATTGTGAGCACGGAATGCCTTATGCTTAGTAATTTAATACAGTTATACAAAAAAATAAGAGCAATCGGTTTACAAGACTTTCATGCCAAATCATTTAAACTGACGCCCGTGAAGAAGAGTTTAGAAAGATCAATGACTTAGGAAAAATTATTTAGAAATTATTAGAAAAAAATAAACAAGTGAGTGAAAAACAGTTGCCAGCCACTGTTCACTCTTTTTCTATCGAATGCCTTCAAGATCTTGTACACTGGCGCTGGAGAGATGGTTCAGCAATTAAGAGCACTGACTACTCTTCCAGAAAACCCAGACTGGGTTCCTATACTAACAAGGCAGCTCAAAACTGTTTGTAACTCTAGTTCCAGGGATTCCATGCCCTCTTCTGAACTGCTAGCATGTGGGGCACTTGCACACAAGCAGACAAAACACTCAGGCACATAAAAATTAAAATTAAAAAGAAAAAGTTTTAAGAATTCTGCGAGCTTTTGTGACCTTTCTTTTTCTTTTTCTTCCCAATTTCTTTTAAGCTATGGGGGCTCTTGAACCTCGGCTCTTTTCCTGAAGGAAATGTTTTAGTTTGAAGGGAATAATTGGAAAAAAATATGCCATCAAAAACACAGAAACAATGTATGGCAGCACAGTAGGTATCTGACCATGAGTAGCCCCAGATCCCAGGATGCAGCTGCAGTTGCCATGGTTATCATCTTTGTGTTGAAATGCTTACAGTCGCATGACTGAGTTCTGTTTGACTCAAGCATTTTGTAATCCCAGGATTAAGATATTCTATCATTTTTAAAGTTGATTTCTTTTCTTTCTTTCTCTTTTTTTTTTGTTTTTTGGGGGTTTTTTTTGTTGGTGTTATTGTTGTTTTGTTTTGTTTTTTGAGACAAGGTTTCTCTGTAGATTTGGAACCTATCCTGGAACTAGCTCTTGTAGACCAGGTTGGCCTCGAACTCACAGAGATCTGCCTGCCCCTGACTCCTGAGTGCTGGGTTTAAAGGCATGCTCTACCACTGCCCAGCTTAAAGTTGAAATTTTATGGTGCAATATGGGGTCAGATTTTCTCCAGGCTTTTTCACACTGTGCAAAGAATAATGGGGCATAGACTTCTAGAATTTTTTCCAGTTCCACCTCCAGCCTCTGTCTTCTGCCTTACAGCTGTTTTACACAGCTTCGCTTTCTAAAGTATGGCTATGCTGCCTATTTGACATGTTAATAGTAAATTAAAGTGAGTATGCTCGTAGATGCAAAATGGCCTCTTTCTTTTTTTTTCTAATTTATTTATTTATTAAAGATTTCTGTCTCTTCCCCGCCACCGCCTCCCATTTCCCTCCCCCTCTCCCAATCAACTCCCCCTCCCTCGTCAGCCCAAAGAGCAATCAGGGTTCCCTGCCCTGTGGGAAGTCCAAGGAACCCCCACCTCCATCCAGGTCTAGTAAGGTGAGCATCCAAACTGCCTAGGCTCCTACAAAGCCAGTACGTGTAGTAGGATTAAAAACCCATTGCCATTGTTCTTGAGTTCCCAGTAGTCCTCATTGTCGGCTATGTTCAGCGACTCAGGTTTTATCCCAGGCTTTTTCAGACCCAGGCCAGCTGGCCTTGGTGAGTTCCCAATAGAACATCCTCATTGTCTCAGTGACTGGGCAACTTAGACGCAGTCCTGAGTTCCTTGCTCGTGCTCTCTCTCCTTCTGCTCCTGCTTTGGACCTTGAGATTTCAGTCCGGTGCTCCAACGTGGTTCTCTGTCTCTGTCTCCTTTCATTGCCTGATGAAGGTTAATATTCAGGAGGATGACTATATGTTTTTCTTTGGGTTCTCCTTATTTAGCTTCTCTAGGATCACTAATTATAGGCTCAATGTTCTTTGTTTATGGCTAGAAACCAAATATGAGTGAGTACATCCCATGTTCCTCTTTTTGGGTCTGGTTTACCTCACTCAGGATAGTGTTTTCTTTATATATATATATATAATTTAATTTTTTTTTTATTGAGAAAAGGAAAAAAAAGCATCCGCCTCCTCCCAGCCTCCTATTTCCCTCCCCCTCCTCCCACCCTTCTCCCCCTCCTCCCACCCTTCTCCCCCTACCCCAAACTCCTCTCCCCCTCCCTCTCCAGTCCAAAGAGCAGTCAGGGTTCCCTGCCCTGTGGAAAGTCCAAGGTCCGTTCCCCTCCGTCCATGTCTACGAAGGTGAACATCCAAACTGGCT